GGGGGTGAGGATTTCAACATATGAATTTTTTAGGGGGGACCAAATGCTAGGTCGATTGCAAGCTGCACGAGGAGGGCTCACCCACGGCTGGCACGAACACATTCGGGCTTTTCGCTGCCGCGTTTTCTGAGATAGCAGCTCCCCGGTCCAGGTCCTGCGTGTTGGTACCATCTCTGCACCGCCTGGAACGCGGGCGGCACCTGCGGGGACGCGAAGGCCGCAGTGACGTCTGGGAAGCAGACTCCACCGTACGTTTGCGTCAGAGCCGGGACGTCCGCTGCTTCTCTCTGCAGCTTTGCCCTGAAGCCGCGGCCAGCGCCGTGCTGGCGTCCGGGAGCAGCTGGGTGCACATCTGCGGTCTCACCCACGAGGCTGCCCGCTGGTGACCAGGGGCCATCTCAAAAGCCAACTGGCCGTCCTACTCCAGGCAGCCACTAACGAGCTGTCGGATCTTCAACAGGGAGCCCCTGGCACAGCGTGGGGAACGGGCTGCGGCAGTCCTGACCCCCGCCGGAAAAACGCCAGGGTTCAATGGAGAAAATACTCTCCTTACACGCATCATTCAAAGTAACTGATTTTGTTCAAGGCAGTATGACGCATGACACCCTCCCCGGCCCCCAGAGAAGTGCAATGAGGGAATGGCTAAATCAAACAGCACCCACAGGAGAAAGCACGCATTAAACACAATGGAACACAGGAAATGTTTATTAGGTTATCTGGGGGAAAAAATCCCTTTGGCAGCTACATGGAATGAATACATGTCCGAGCAAAGAACACAGGGACACAGCCGGTGGGTCCCCACTGCTTCAGTGTGGAAAGCGGCTGCCCGTCCGGCCTGGCACATCAGAGCACCCTGTCGCTGGGGTGAGCAGCGGACGGCAGGGTCACAGACGATGGCTGAAGTTTGCTCACCAGGGGAACGCCGTCCTTCCAATAAATAAGACGGGTACGAAGACAAGAACTTCTTGAGAAGGGCGAAGAAACCCCGAACCTGAACACAGCACCAACTCCTGCATCCCACCCGCTTCGGGCTCTCGGAAACCCGTGCTCTTGCCCTGGGCGTGGGGACAGCGAGGCAGGTGGCCCGCGGCACGCACCGCCTCCTGTGGGACCTGCACAGCCTCTGGCGGAGCAGAGCCGAGCCTGGGTTCTTGGGGACGACCACCGAGGCCAGTACGGAGGCTTTGCAAGGGCAAAACCAGCCAGTGACACGCTCAGAAAAGGCTTCAGAAACACAGCAGTGGTTTGAAGGGTCATTTCCCAGCCCCACACTGACCTCCCGGCCCCACGGACCTGCCTAGTAGTCTCTGCACGGGGGCAATTTCCGCAGGCCCCTTATTCAGGCACTTGCACGCAGTTCCCTTCGGCAAGACCAACTGCTGTCCCCTAGTTCTTCTGAAGCGACCACAGCCAGAGCGGTGCTACCAGTCCTCCTGTATCATGAGACCGTCCCAGCGTCTTCTCAGAGGTGGGCACACGAGACTTCCAGGGCCCGACCGGGCTGTGGCCAGAGAGAGCTGGGACAACACAGCTGGGGTCCCGCGTGGGTGCAGCGGGGCCTGCAAAGCTCCTGGAACCAGAAGCCGGAGCCACCAAGGCTGCAGGGCTGGAGGCTTTGGTTGGTGCCAAGTGACACCTGGCGGCTTGGAGCGGGGACAGAGCCCACCCCACCCGCAGTTCCCCAGAGCACTGGCACGCAGGTTTCCCCACGCACGTCCAGAAAGGCACTGCATTCCTCCCATGGCTCAAAGGACACGTTCCCTCCTCCCGGGTCCTCCAAGTGGCCAGAACAGCCAGAAGCCAGGAGGGGCCCGAGAAGCAAAGGGACTCCTCCAGTGGGGTCCCAGTCACAGGGGCACCAGGGCGTCCCCGGGCCCCGCTTTGGGCCGGCAGATGGTCATAGGGATTGGGCCGCTGGACAGAGGCGAGAAGAGGGGCCGCAGTGTCCCCGAGAAGGGGGTCTCGGGGAAGATGAAGAGCAGCGACCCGTCAGTGGCACTGTAGAAGGACAGGTGTCCCGCCTCGTAGTCCAGAAAGATGCCCACGCGCCTCGGAGGGTCCCGCAGCGGCGCGAAGGCCCGCTCAGGGCAGTTGTAGTAGCTCCCCAGGAAGACCAGGATCCAGAAGCCGTTGCCCACGGACAGCTCCCCCTTCTCCTTCCTGTCGACGTCGTCCCTGCACACGCCCAGGGCCCAGCTGCTGCGGTCCCCGACCTCCACCTCCCAGTAGTGGCGGCCCGAGCTGAAGCGCTCCTGGCCCAGCACGCAGGGGCCGGGGTCGAAGCGCTCGGGGCTGTCGGGCAGGGCCTGGCGCAGGTCGCCCCGCTGCACGCTCCGCCGGTCCTCGGACAGGACCAGCTCGGGGTTGGCGGTGTCCGGGTCCAGGGTCACGTCCCCTGCAGAGGCCCAAGAGAGGTCACCTGGGCACAGCCGCCGCCTGCCTGCCTCGGCCCCGCCGGTGGACCCCTCCCCGCCCGAGGCTGTGCCCGAGGCTCGTCCACCCTCACGGCCCCACACAGACCGCTTCCCCCCGCCCCCCAAACATCACCTAACCGCTTCTAGCTGCAATTCAGAATGTTCTAGAAATCGGTCGTTTCACCTTCAGGTGAGAAGAGGAAACACTGGTTTTGCTTTCTACTGCCTTCTTTCAATCCCAAAATGAAGTCTGAGTTCTGGACCAACCTTCCCCTGGGCCTCCCTGGGCTCCATCCGCTCCCGGGCGGCACGGAGACCCCTCTCGGGAGTGGGGAGGGGCGGCCGTGGCAGCCCCCACCGACCACTGCGGGATTCCTGATCTGTCCCCTCTGGGGCCGCGTGCAGGTCCTACGCGCAGACCCTAGACCTGCCCGCAAGAGCCGAGGACGGCATTTCCTGGACGACTGACGCAGCGACAAACACATCTGGGTTTTGTCCCGTTCCTGGCAGGGCTCCTGAAACCCGTGGACTTTCCTGACTCATAGGAGCCTTGGCCCATCACGCCTGAGTTGACGCTACTGAGGTGACTCAGGTGGGGACCCTAGACATCGTCAGGAAGGGTGGGCCCAGGAAGACGGGCCCCGTGCTCGGGGGCTCAAGGCTCTGCCCATTCAATGACCAAGGACGCAACCGACCCGGCCAGGTAACAGGGGCTCCGTGAGAACGTGGCGACGACGGGGTCGGGGGAGCTTCCAGATGGTGCACACACCGGAGAGCCGCTGCTCTCCACACTCGGACCTGCGTCTCTTCCATTCGGCTGGTCCTGAGCTCTAGCCTTTGTTTTTTTTTTACGTTTTAGAGATAGGATCCCACTGTCACCTATCCTCGAACTCCTGAGGTCAAGCGATCCCCCCGTCTCGGCCTCCCCAAGTGCCAGGACTACCGGTGCACGCCCAACCCTGACTCACGTCCTTTGCAGCAAACTGGTGATAGTAAGTTAAGAGCTTTGCTGAGCTCTGGGCGCCGTCGAGCAAGTGCTCGGACCTGAGCAGGGGCTCGTGGGAACTCCCAACTCATAGCCGGTTGCACAGCAGTGCGGGTGGCCCCGGGAAGCTGGGAATGGCATCTGAAGCGGGTCAGTCTTGCAGACCGAACCCTTCGTCTGTGGGGTCTGTGCTCCTCTGGGTAGCAGGTGTCACAACTGGACTGAGGCTGGGTGTGGTGGCGCACGCCTGTAATCCCAGCACGCTGCGGGGCTGAGGCGGGAGGATCGCCTGAGCCCAGGAGCTCAAGGCTGCCTTGAGCTGTGACTGTGTCACTGCACTCCACCCTGGGCAACAGAGCGAGACTGTTTCCCCCAAAAAGAACTGAACTGAATCACTGGACACCCGACTGAGCAGAGGATGCTTTCCCAAAGATCCACTGCCCGGACACTGGGAGTCTGGGGCCACACACAGGGCACAGAGCATGCCACTGGCTGCCTGGGTTCCTTGGCGGGTCCCTTCCTGGGGTCATCCCTCCATCTGGAGCCCCTGCACCCACCTCGAAACCTCCGCAGGGTCTCCACCAGCCCCGGCACCCTGCACACGGTCCTCAGCTCCATGGGCACCACCTCCGGCGGCTGCAGCTTCACGTCCTGGATCCTGGAGGGGACAGCGCCAGCATCACCCCTGCAGAAGGCCACTGGGACCCCACCCCACGCCCCGCCCACCTGCCCAAGGGCTTTTACCTGCGCAGGGCGTCCTTGATGTCCTGTGGGGCAGAGAAAGGCCACACTCAGCTTCCACACCCGCCACCCGGTCCTGGGGGCACACCCCGGCCCCTCTCCCCTGGACGCTGAGCTCCAGGGGGCAAATGGAAACATCTGTGCTTCGAGCCACCCAGTGTGGGGCACTCTGTACAGACCCCTGCTAACTTTGTTTTTCCCCTTCGATTTTTCTTATCCCTTAGAACGTTCTTCTGCGCACAGCAGGGACCCAGCGACCTACACTGGCCAGCCAACGACCCCCACACCCGCCTGTTCTAACCCGCTCTGCACCAGGCGCTGAGCTGGGATGCAGAGACCTAAGGCACAACCCTGGGCAGAGGGGCTCCCGCAGGCAGAGACACGGCACGGAAGGTGTTCATGGGCACACACGGTGAATGCTGTCTGGGGACAGAGGGGCAACGGGACACTCTAGGCCTCAAAAAACCCAACAAAAACGGGGGACTCCCGGCAGGGTTGTGAAGCCTGGGGAGAATTCACCGGCAGACGTGGGGAAGCAGTGCACGTCGGGGAAGAGATGTGCAAAGGGGCTGGGGCGCGTGGAGCCTGGTGTGAGCAAGGCAGGTGAACTGCCAGCTCGGCTGAGGCGCAGGCAGGGGCCTGAGGTCACCACCCACCCCCTGCAGCATCTCGGCTGAGACCCCAAATCGTGTCTTCATGCAGACCCTGCAGGTGGGTCCCCGTTTCTGGGTTAATGGTTCCTCCTTCTAAAGCCTTCCTAGCTTTTCCGGCATCACTCCCTCTCCAGCCTCCTCCCTCCTCCCTCCACCAAGCGTCCTTCCCGTTTCCCGGCTCAAACTGGTCGGCAGCTCGGCCAACCCCCAAGGGTGCAACAGCGGCCAGGAGCCTGTTCCTGCTCCCGGACGTGTCTGCTGGGCTCTGGAGGCTGGGGAGTGGTCACCTCCTGCGGGAGGCCCTCCAGCTCCGCCTGGGCCCGGCACCGCCACCCACCAGGGGCTGGATTCGGTCATACATGGCCTCTTTCTCGTACGGGAGCCAGAGCCGCCTGGGGACCCCTTCCCCGTACATCGCTGAGTCCCTGTGTCTCTGCTGCGTTGGGCAGAGGACAGTTTCTCAGTATGGGTGGGGCAAAAAGACCAGCGGGACCCCACACAAGGACACAGACACCCTGACCCTGCGTCCCCATGGAAACCCACTTAACAAGCGGGGAGGTGGGGGCAGAGAGCCCCAGTGGGGCGGGGCCGGCTCCGGACCTCACGGCCACGCTCCTCAGGGCCACCTGACCTGGGTTTGGTTTGCGGGGCACCCAGGGAAGCCCACTTCCAGGGAAGAGGCAGTTTCAGGGGGCTGGAGCCGAAAGCACCCCAGGACGGAGGCGCTGCGTGTGACGTCTGCCAGGCGGGCCAGGTGGGGATGGGTGAGGACGGCAGCGGGAGGCTTCCCAGAGCCCAGCACGCTCTCCGCCACCTGCAGATGCCCGCTCTTTGAGCCGCAGCCTTGGTGCGCCCCAGGAAATGGGACGACGAAGACGCCCGACCCTGCGTGAGCACTCAAGAGACGCCGCCTGCTGGGGTCTACGGAGGAAAACACAAGTTTTCCTTCTCTGCGCACCAGGGTCTGAGGTGGCGGAGCAGCTGCCAGCTCGGCATTTGACAGGCCCTCGCCACCCGCGCCTGACCCCCGGGACCTCCAGATGCCTCTCGCGCCTTGGCCCGCCGGCCGCCCTGCTCACCTGCAGCAGCCCCAGCGCCGGCAGCTGGCAGCGGCCCTCGAGCTCGGCGACGAGCTCGGCCAGGTGGGCGCTCTGCTGGCCCAGCCGGGCAGCGCCCTCCCGCAGGCGCGGCAGCACCTCCAGCTCCTCCTGCTCCAGCCTCTGCAGCAGCAGCCGCTCCTCCTCCCCCAGCAGGCGCCGCAGCCGCTCGAACTCGCCCAGCACGTTCTGCCGCTGGCTCTCCACCATCTTCTGCGGGTGCCGCGGGGGGGACAGCTGAGGCCCACGCCCTGGGCCCCTCATCTACCACCCGGGACTGGCTGGACCCCAGACCCCAAATTCACCATCTGATGGACCCTAAATGCACCCCCGGGGCTGCCATCCGAGCACACTGGGAGCCCACGGTGGGCACCTGGGGTACAGAACGTCCCCACGGGCACACGCAGCATCCTCCATGTCCCCGCCCTGTGTCGTGGATGCCACTGGCCGGGCAGGCTGGGCTCACGCAGGGAAGGACCAGCCCCTCTCGCACCCACCCAGGCCTGGACGCAGTGGGGCCAGCCGGCAGCCGCGACCGCCAGCCTCCTCGTTCCCGGGGCGCAGACGGCGAGTGTGGACGGCCAGCGTCCCTCCCACCCGGGGCCCCAGCACCTGCCTGCCACAAGGCGCAGGTCTCGTCGGCCTGGGCTTGGAACAGCAGCGCATCTTCCATCTGCTTCCGAAGGTGCTCCAGCGACTTCTCCAGCTTTGCCTGGGGGTTGGGGGGGGACAGAGACCAGACAGAGCCCTGAGCCCCCTGCCCAGCGCTGGGACTCTCCGGGCGGGACACTGTGCCCCAGTTACAGAAGTCGTCCTTTTGCACTTGGCCTCCTGTCCCAAGTTCTTCCGCAGAGATGGCTCGGTCTGGAGAAAAAGGGATTCGACGCCCTCACCGCGGGCTGCGCCCCGCTCTCACGGCCACGTGGACACCCCCGCCCTCTCCCCGCATCCACGTGCGGCTCCAGCCCGCCCCCCCTCAACCCTGCCTGCCTGTGTGAGCCCACCGCAGGGGCTTCGGCCGCCACCCGCCCCGGCCAGGCCCCCCACAGGAAGCGACGGGACACGGTGGCCACCCCCCCCC